AATTCTCATATGTGCTTCTGCATTCACTCTATGATAAGAGGGTTTGGGGGGCCTGAGGTATAGGAAGACATCCTGGCCTCACACAAGCATGTAGTCGTAAAAGGGAGTATTTTCATAGACTTCCCGTCAATTGTGTATATATATATTTTTTGATACTACACCAAAACTTGACAAATGGTAGGTCGTTTTTTTTTTTTTTTTAAGTGGGCCGCATTGTAGAATCTGAAACTATGTCAGTGATTTTTCCCGTCCTGTTACATGAAAAACCATGGGCCTTTCCATCCATTGCACACTGACTGGCTCTTTCTAGCCCACATGGCTTTGTGCCATCATGCGTTGCTTACTTGGACAATACTGGTTCGCCGGGATTTGCACTCATGAGAGAATGAACATGAGAAGATAAACAGTCACATATTGTTATGACAATAATTCTGACCACGTAGACCCCCGGAAGGGGTCTCAGGAACCCCCTGAGGTCCTAGGACCACGCTTTGAGAAACACTGGCCAAGACTAAAGTCAAAGAAGTTCCCTTCACTCATTCGGGAAATACTTACTGGGCACCCACTATGTGCCAGCAACCATCCCAGGTGCTGGGAATTCCACAATGAACAAAACAAAGTCCTGCCCTCGGGCGGCTCACATCCTCTTGGGGGAGGCAGACCATACACAAATAAGCACTCAATGTAAACTATCGCATCAGGTGGTGGTAAATGCCAGACGAAGCCCTGCGCCAGACATTTGCACATGAGCATGTGGTTTCCCCAGGAAGCCGAATTCAGCCAGCCTGGGATTCACTAATTTAAGGGTTGCACAATAAAATATGGGGCGTTTTTCTCTTAATACCAAAATACTTGCGGACACAAGCAGGGGTGGAGGAGGGGGGGTGACCCGCCCTAGAAGGGTTGAGAGCTCACCACTGAGGCTGGATTCCTTTCTGATTGCTCCACGAGAGGGTAAACCTCAGAAGTCACCTCACTTAGAGGCTCCCGTCCCCCCTGCTTGCTTGCACGATCCCTTCGGCAACCCCATGCATGTACAGCACGTTCCAATACACTGTCCTGCGTGAGCCTCACATGAAGCCCTGAGAGATGGCCTGGGTGGCTCTTATTTCTCTCTTTTACAGATGAGGAAACTGAGCCTGGGAGAGGTTTATAAGCAACACGCCAAGGGACACCTCAGAACTTGAAACCCAATCCTCTGACTACTCAGCATGGTTCATTCCACCACGAAGATTTTTACCATTTCCTTCGCCTCTGATATTCCTTCACATAAGGAAGAAAAAAGAGGTAAAACGTTGAAACCAAAGGCATCAGTTTAGCTTCTTCCTTCAAAAATGTCCTGCTCGGGCGCCTGGGTGGCTCAGTTGGTTAAGCGACTGCCTTCGGCTCAGGTCATGATCCTGGAGTCCCGGGATCGAGTCCCACATCGGGCT